TATTTTATAGTTAAGGTGGGTGATGTAGACAAAAATTTGAATCTCGATAGTTTTTGGAGTGACTGAATCCAACAAAAATGTGTTTTAAAAAAAGTAATGAAATACTTAATTTGAGCTTTAAGTTTCAGATAAATGTGAAATGACTGTAAAACTAAGGTCCAGAAATATCACTTTATATGCTTATTTAGCTTTTTTTATTGATTTACTTTTATTATTAGCTAATTGTAAACTATATACTCAGCATCATATTTTGCATCTTCAAAACTACATTCACATTTTTTTTACATCTGCCCACCACAGATTAAATTTAGATAATCACAGTTTAGGCGTAGGACTCACTTGTCAAAATTCTAAATTTAAATCTCCTTAAAGGCTAAATAGGCACAGGAGTTGACCATTGTCTTCAGAGTGCCCCCTCCCCACACCTTATGAGGCCTATATAAGTTAATTATATGCAAATACTTAGCTATGAGTTGCACTATAACCTGAATTGTTTTTACTATTGTTTTTGTTTGTACGTGTCTTGAAGGGATTATTGTTATTAAAAATGCTATGTAAGGACTCCTACCAAAGTGTCCTGCATTGTAGCACCTTGCAGCTCAGTACTGCACCATTCGAACTACTCCTAACTCTCCTGTTCCCTCTGCTGGCAAAGGCAGAAACTGCATGACTCTTACTTTTACCCAACTTTGTATTTCTTGTGAAGTCTTTTCACTGGATTGACCCTGTTCATTTTCTTGTGTTTCTTTGTTTGGTCTGCACGAGGGGCCTCTCTGACATCTCCCGTGGATGAAATATCAATGCCAATGACTCACTCTCCAAGTTTGGTGCCAATCATTGTCGCAAATGCCAAACCTATTATCAACAAATCTCTATCTTGAATCTCTCACGTAGTTGTTCTGGGCATCTGAAGGCAGACGCTGGAAATGTTCTGGGTGGGTTCTTGTTGAGAAAAAGGCATTAGTTCCTGTGAGAATAAACTGCTTTTCCCTTAGGCTGAAGGAAACTAGCTTTTTAATTTACCTTTATAAATGACCTTGTAAACAACCAATTCGGCAATCCTGTCTACGCACATTTAATTTCTCCCTCAGCTGACTTAGAGCGAGGGAGGTTAGCGGGAGTGCAAGGGGGTGGAACTCCTTATAATACATGAGCTCGACACTGCCAATGTTATGCCTGGCTGTATGAATTAGCACGTGGTGTTGCTAAATAGAGCTGTGAGATTAATAATGATCAAATTAAAATTGCAATTTGAATGGTCGCAGTAAGCAAATCGCAAATACTGCAACTGATACTAGTAACCAGTATCTCTTAAAATATCTTATATTAAGCTTGTAGCTATACAAAACATTACGTATATCTCATTGCAATGCCCAGAAATAAAATATTACGGATTTACTGCAATTTGCTGCAATTATCCTTTGTCTATCGTTGTCCTCTGCAAAGAATAAAATATCTTGTCTTTTGTAGAAAAATCTTTTTGTGCCTGCAGCTTAGATCTCTACAAACATGTTCTGAAATTCATGGGATTTTTGTATTAGTTTTCTTGATATAAATAAATAAATATTTCAGTCTTCTCTCAAATGTAAATGCTACTGGAGTTGTTTACACTGTGCAAGCCTTCTGTTTAAGCATAAATTGCATATCTCATTGCTGTGCAGAGAAAGTTCACATATATAGAGATATTTTTGCAAAGTCTTTCAGCATTTGCTATCTGCTCTCATGAAACAAAACAGCACTAGCCTTATGCTCACATTTTTCCTTGAGACTTGATGAAAGACTGTTGTGACAAGTACTCCTGTAGACGATCACTTTCTCGTGTTTACTTATATCCAACGTTTTCATAAAAGTCTGCTTGCCTTATTTTTTATTTATTTGATTTTGTCTGTTTGTGTTTAGATTTTTCCTTTTTTTGTATTGAATAGCACAACAGGCAAGTTCATTATGCGTGTGACTCATCCGACTAGCCCACTCCCCCTCCCCATCTGCTGCTGTGCGCTGGAAAGGGAACCGCCATTGATCACTTCTTCCCTCACACATGCACGCACACACCCAGCCCCAGCGTCACTATCGATCCACATGTTTAATGTTTTTGTGGCTAATAGATGGCATTTCCTTTTGTGCTACCGTTTGCTGACATTCGGATAAATCTCAAAGTGGGGGTATAATTTGGTCAACCTTTTGAGCAATGTTACACTTGCTTCACTGCACCTGTGTTTTCTCAGTAGCATTTGCAATTGATATTGGCCGAGTCATGCCCAGTAAAGCTTTTAATCGGCTGGATCAACAGACAGGATGAACAAAAAATTTAAATGACAAAATATTCATGCATAAGTTTGAATGTTAAATGTATAAATTTTATTGCCATAATAGTACTTGTTGGCTATAATGCAACTTTTTAATTTGTTCATTTTAACCTTTATTGATCCTAGTTTGAAACTTAAAGGGGCATTGTGTAACTTCTCTGGTGGAGGGTCTGTCACCTATTTGTCTCCATGGAGAAATTATGGTTTGCCTTGATTATTCCACAGTATGGAAATAAACGTGGTAATCACAATGGAGATAGGTTAATGCATAGATCTATGAAGAAGCAAGCCTGTGCAAGTGGCGCATGTTTTTGGTATTTTTGAGCTATAAAACACCTGTAATTGAACAAATTCAAGGGACATATGTTTACTGTCTTACTGTGGAACATTCCAAGCAAAGGAATAACATCTCCATGGAGAAAAGCAGGTAGGGGACTCTCCACCTTAGAAGCTACACAGTGGACCTTAAATAATTAAATAATCACTGGCAGCTTTGTTAAAACCTACTGACAGTATTGTAGTATTCTTTAGACTTCTGTATCTTTAAGTGCCCAATGATTCTATTTAGATTTTTGGAGACTGGATTTGATAGAAAACGTTCTCAATCCAATTCCAAAACAGTTATTTATTCTGGCTTTAAATTTAAGTGGCTTAAGAAATGCTTTTGCTGCTTGGAAAGAAGAAGTAATATACGGATGAAGTAATATAAAGATGAATTAGCCTTGAAAATATAGCATACTTTGTCTTAGTAGTGCATTAACAGCCGCAATCTAGACATAGAATTATGATGCTTTTAAAGGGCCTTTTCCATGTTGTTGAGTAAAATGTGTCTTGCCCCTGTATATTTTCTTGTCCTAGGATCAGAACGTGCACTGTAAGCATGCTAGTTGTTGTTAGCATTACAGTAATGGCAAACTGCTCTGGCCTCTGAAATTGTTAAAAAAAAGTTTTGAAAAGCACTTTTAAACTCATCACAGTGTATAACTGGGATTCTCTGAATGCACAAGGTAAACATCGGCCAGAGGAATAAGCTGCAAATAATTTCAAATGAACTAGTTCTGTTTTTTTACCTTTTAAGATACAGCTCCTTTAACAATCTTTTTACCCAACATTCAAATTTGATAATACAACATGCCAGTACGTTTTCTCATAAGTCTGAAGTAATTACTCAGGTGCATAAACTGCCACATTAACAGTTTGTGATTTAAAGGATTAAGCCTGTATTTCTTTTTCAACATATTGACACAGATCTGCCTAAAATTAAGTTATGTGAAATGTATAATAATATTGCAGCTAATGATCATTTTGCCGCTCTAGTCACCTGAGAATTGTAAATGGGAGTTTTATTACAAACGTTGAATCAGATGAAGCTATTTAATAATGCACATTTGTATTGCTAAGATGTTATTGTATCAATGTGAAACCATATTAAAGCTTAAATAATGGTGCATATTAAGCTCTATTATTACAAAATTATATCTCTCTATCTAGAGTTATTTTTAGTGACATGAAGCATCCTCCATTTCCATTACTCACAATCTGCACTCTGGATGTTAAATTAAAACCCATTGCAAAGAAAGCTTTGCTCTACAACCATTATGGCTCTCCCCACATGCTATTACAGTCATCCAGACAGGCAGTTGTAGTAAATAGTCATCAGCCTTGTTCCCGTAGACCAGAGGTGTCCATTTGATTTGTGTTGACGGTCATTTTATTTGTAATGACACTTTATGTATCAATTAGCTTTCTTTTTTAAGCTTTTTTATAGTTTTGTTTTGTCTGATGTCTGATTTTGTCTGATCTTATTTGATGACTGCAATTTTCTTGGCATAACATGTTAGTTACAGTAAGCCATTAACTAACTTGACTAAAGGTAGGTGGGGGAATAGGCCAGGCAGACTCCACACTATCTCATGGAAGTATGCTGTAAAGTTATGCAATTATAAACAGTTAATTTGTGCCATTTTAAAACTACTATAGGTTTATTAGAGTTTTTGAGATGGCAGATGTGAACCTCCCTGGCCTTTGTTCAGACTCACCTGTGCTCTGTTTTTTCTTCTGTCAGGCCAAAGCTGGCACACTTTTGGACAGCAGTAACATAGATAACATCTAGTGGTGTTATGTGAGACTACAACAGGGCCACATTTGCCAATTTAATTACAAATTTGGACTTTAAAGGTGCACTTTATGCAACATTTATGGTGTCTATAGAGATGTTACTGCTTTGCCTGGAATGCTCCACGGTATGACATTAGCTCTCTATTATATTTCTATTGAAGTTTAATGCCATTAAAAAAAATACATTTCCATAGAGGCAAGCAGGTGGCAGAACCCCCACTTGACCAAGGAGCTAGTCCTCTCCAATGTGACAGTTCACAGATAAACTGATTGTCTGGTTCAAAACTGCAGATGGAAATCCTGGGACCTGCTGAGGACATCTTTATGTGGAAATGTAGAATATGTGGAAATGTGTGAAAAAAAAAAAAAAAAATGTAAAGGTTCTAATGATGTGTGATCTTGGTCTTTATATTCTGCTATGTGTTTTAACTTCAACCTCATTAGGACCACCTTCTTGTTGTTGCGGGTGTAAATATTATGTGGATGAAGTGTTGGTGTTGTTTGGATGACAGCTTTACTCACTTCTTTTAATAGGATCATGATGCTAATTCATCTGAAATGTATTGTCTTTTTTAGGTGGTCCTAGACATGACGTTTGGAGGCGGTGGTCATTCAAAGGCCATACTAAACACTGTCCCTGAAGTCACGCTCCTGGCATTAGACAGAGATCCCACAGCTATTTGTTTGGCCGAGGACTTAGCCAAGGAATACCCGTAAGTGATGTATTGTGTGGTGATGCAAAACATCAACAGTAACACCAGTTAAAGCTTGTTATGAGCTGTCTAGACAAATGTTTATACAATGTCACTGCTAATGGTTTACCAAGATATTTCACTGTCACAGTTTAGAGCTCTGGAGCCTCAAAGCAGGGTCTGGCTCGTGGTCATTATTTCTTAAAACATACTGTAGGTGTGATGTAGTACTGCAGATGTCTATATTTCTCACTTCTTGCCGGAGCCCGATCAAATACTGCTTGCTAAGATACAGCCCCTGAGTTCCTTCGGCCAATCAAATCCATTCCTCCTCCTTAAGTTAAAGCTTTTCTCCCCCTACGCAAAGCTGGTGGGCCTGGCATGTCATTTGTCAGAGTAAGAGCCCACGCTGCAGAGAGAGGGAGATGCTGCCTCCCACGGAGGATCTATAAGACGTGGGGGGGTAGGAAGTCAGAGAAGCCCTCAGAAGTTTAGAAGTAACAAGGGAATAAATGGAGTCTGCAGTGAGCAGGGAGACACGAGGACACTGCGCGGGGGCGTGCGGGAGTGTGTGTGCGGGAGGATGAAAATGAGATGTTCCTAAGACCGTGGCGTGGGAAGGAATCCTTTTACGTAGATTCTGGGGAAACCTCTCTCGGGGGAATCTGCCAGAGCACTGTGCCTGTGAGCAGGGAATGACAATTAAGAGAGAGTGCGCCCGAACACTGTATTCTGTCAGGAGCAATATACCCTGCTGTAAACTGTTCCACACCTACTTGTGATGCAAGTTGAGAGAACCTGGAGAAATCTAGCCATTAACCAATATTATTGGAGCCTGAGTAAAAGACCCTGCCTTCCTACGCAGTGCATCTGCACCACGGGGTTGGAGGATTTTCTCTCTCCTCTGCACTCTGTGTTGTGAACAATGTCTAACCTCGACACAAACTGTTGAGTGTTGGTGTGAATCTCACTGTTGAAAATCAGTTCATCTTTTAAAATGCTTCACTTATAAAAGTTGGCCTCTGTCTTCTTCACCACGTTCCCTTCTGACTTCTGTTTGACTGCACTATTGTACAGAGCATCATTTCATTTCTGCCAGAGTTAGTGCATTTAAGCCTCTCAGTATTGTGCCTAGGGGTGGGCGATATCTCGATATTTTAAATATATCGAGATAGTTTTTAAGCTCGATATGAATTCTGACATATCGTATATATCAATATAATGCTTATATTCTATTTTGATTTCACCACTTCGCTTCTTTACCTTCTCTGTCGTCGCCTCCGCACGCCCCCGCCTCCCTGATTTTGTTCGCTCGTGTCTCATTCGCTGTCGCCGTGAACGCCGAAAGTTGGTGCCAGTGAAAAGCTTCAAGCACCACGAACCTTTTCAACCATTTACAGACAAAACCATCAGCAGCACATTCTCATATTCCACCGAGTCACATCCTTTAGCCTGAAAGAAGCTAAACGAGCTGAGCTGCACGAGAAGTGCGCTGTTTATGCAAATGAGCCATGCACTTAAGTTTCATTTCTGTAAAATGTAAACACGTGCGCAAAACTGCATTAAACACATTAAACGGGCTCATGTGGCTCTATAGTCGCTATGCTTTATATATTGTAAAGTTTAGCAATGTAAAGTTTATTTATGCAGAAGATTTTAATGAATAATCTGCTGCAGTGTCACTTGTACAATTGTGTTTGGAAACATTGGGTTTGATCTGCAGTGGATTGTGGGAAACCTCAGAGCTCCTAACTGCTGGAACATGGATCTGTTAAAATAAAGAACATCCTGAGCTTCTTCTGCTAAAGGAGCTCACGGTTCTGGTTCTGGTCTGGATAACAGAGTTAATGCGAAGATGAACTTGTGTTGAGTTGTTTTATTTATGAATGAAAAGAAGGAAATATGTATTATTTCTTTTATTTTACAGTTAAATTATTATTTATGTAATTAGGGTTTTTTGTAATCTTAAATGTTCCTATATGAACTGCCGACCTCTTACACTTCAATTAACAAAAAGACCTTGTGGAATTTGGCATATTTGTTTTTGCAGTTTTCAGTTTTAGAGGGTTATTGTTTCTTGAACATATATTCAGATATATATCGTATATCGAGATATAGCAAAATATATCGAGATATATTTTTTTATCCATATCGCCCAGCCCTAATTGTGCCTGTAATGAAAAATCTTTCACCAGGACATCACAACTACTTTAGAAGCAGTATGATTCTTAAAGGTCATATGCAGAATGTAAACATTTTCAATCTATTGACGTGTTCTTGAGAAGAAGATTACAGACTTATTACTGTTAACGTGAAGGTGAATCGTTAACCATCACCTTTATGACTGCTGCTGATCTGCTGTTGTACGTCAATTCAAGCACTCATTATACTACTACTACTGTAATTATCAAAATCAAAACAATAATATACAATACATAGTTGTCAAAGGTTGTTATATAAAGTACTGTCATGGAGTTCACTCACCCAGCCTCTTCTCTCATCTCTTTTGGGAGACCAGGACAGTTAAATATATTGAGTGTCTATTAATCCAGTCTTATTTGACTTCAGGTTCCATATTTGGAAACATTTCATGGATGTTTTTGGCAGGTGGTATATGTGAGACATTGCAGTCATGCTTCCTGTTCTTTTTATTAACGAACAGACCATTCAATATCCTCAAAGTAAATTTGAGAGAGGCTTGCTGATAGTGTTCGTTCAGCGTTGTAGGCTCTATTCATTTTTCCTTGGCCGGACTGTAGATATTTTCATCACTGCTCCCCTGCTGAAAGCAATCAATCAGCATCTTGTCTTAGGCTTCAGTGACGCAGGTAAAGGAGCTGAGCAGGTCAACACAGGGGAATATTTCAGGCTTGATTTGTGAAGAGGCAGCATCGCAACCATGGAGCATGCGTCTAAAGACAGTCTGCTGTGAGAGAGAAAGATCTTCATGTCCTCACACCGTGTACTCTTACCTCCAATGAGCAAAAGCAGCAAATGGACTCTGTGAGAAGTGTTAGTGTCAAAAGTAATTTTTGGTCCTACTAGGGCCATACAATAGTGGAAAACGCATGAATATGCCAAACCAATTCAAATATTGAGCTAATGATATGAGCTAAGAGATTTTTAAATGTCAACTTATGAAACGTTTAATTCAGTTGTTCCCAAAGGGTCAGGATTTGAATGTGAGATTTGGGAGGTTTAATATGTGCACCTGGATTTCAGTGTGCATATTACAGCAGTTTAATGAAATGCTAACTTATTCACTAGTTAGTGCATATTTTGTGCCACTAGACTGAATGTATGGAGAGGCTCAGATCAAGAAAGATATGTGTCCTCAGACCAACCACTATGCAGCATATGTCTCACTGTGGCATCACCTACAGAGTAAAGGAACAAATTAAATGTATAAGTCAGCACAGAAATAGTTTTGCTTAAGTAAACATGTGTTTTCCATGAAACTAATTGTTCTTTGTTCAGGGGCACTTACCTGTCTAAAATCCATAGTTTCCAGTACAGGCACCTGCACTCCCTCGTGGGGAGTTGGGTTAGGACCTTTAATGAATGATTGTATTGTTAAAGGGTCTAAAAACAATTGAAATTGACAAAGAAGGATATAAAAAATTGATTCATTTGGTGACTGAATTAATCAGTCCTATAGATTCAAATTATTCAAACAAAAATCAGATGCATTTCTCTGTTAAGACATAATCTGAACCATCTTTATAGTAAAGCATTTTATATGGTGAATACAAATTGTTCTTTTATTTCAGTAAATAACCATCCGTCTTCTTACCTCTGATCTTAATTGACTTGGAGCCAAACTACCCAACAGTTTTTTTTCCTGGTCCTGACTCGTGCTGTCATCATCATTATTTCAGCTTTGTTCGTGGCATTTCACAAGTCCTCCGCTTCAATCTGCACAGTTTGGGTTCCACTGTTGGCTCGGTGCTGGAAGATGCCAGAATAACAAAAGTTTGGCTGCGTGATGTCAGTGTTGTTTAGTGGTATGGCTCCAAATAGCTGTGAACTCTTCAGCAATTATGAACCCACGGTCTGCCCCCTGAAACTTGTCCTGTTTAATAATCCAAGACATTACATAATGCATTTATATCTTCTTCATCTCTGTCAAAGGCACATAAAAAAGTTAATAATTCAGACATGTTACATAACTGTTTTGCATATTTTTAAGTCCAACTGTGGCTTATAAAAACATGTTATACAGAGTTAAATTATTGGACAGAAAGAACGGCTCTTTTACAAATACTACTACATTCTTTAATTCCTGCATTAAAAAGTTGAAATAATATCTAAAATCTAAATTATAAAAAAAAAAAAACATAATCATTATACATACACTATATGTGTACAATTACACAAAATCTAATAATTACATGTAGTATTTTGTTAATAATGCACATTTTATGTTTTAAAGCCCCAAAACATGGTTAAATCCGGGTTTAGCTTTTTAGTTTAGCCAAATACAGTGGTGTAAAAATTGTCCGTAGGCATGGTACATGGTAATTAAATTGTCATTGAGTTGCCATCCTGACACAGACTCTCCTGTCATTAATTTACTCTGGCCACATACAAAAACACATTCCATTGATTGAAGGATTTCAGAGAATGTGATTATGTCATACTCTCAAATAGGGGACAAGAGACAGTTTTAAGTATTAATCACATTCACTTTCACAGTAATTGTCTAAAAGGAAAATTCAGAATGTTGAATCTGGTCATTTCTTTTGGTGCCTAGACCCTAGAGCTTGCAGTATTGCAACAAAAAATAGTTAGTTTTAGCTGCCCCCATCTTATCGGCCTGGAACCAAGCAATAACCAAATTATGTTACAGTTTTGCTTGGTAATAGTAGTAATTGTTAAAAGTTATTGACACCATGAACACTGTCTAATATATTGCCATATCTACCAGCTTTATAAAATTAGAATTAGACTTTGACAAACTTTATTGATCCACAAGGGAAATTATTTGGACACTGTAGCCCACACATCATAATATATTATAATAACAAAGAGCCAAAAAAAATTTGTAATAATAGATTCAAAATTAGCAAAAAAAAAAAAAAAAGTAGCAAAAATAGCAAAAAAATAAATAAATAAATAAAATATAGAAATGTAGTAATATAAATATCTCAGTTATATACAAGAGAAATCTAACTTTAAGTACAAACAAAGTATAAAGTACAGTTAAAATGATTATAATCATTCAGAAAAAAAATTTAAGTTTCTGGAGTATATGGCTTGAAATCACTTGCTTCTAATAGGTCCACAGTTGTTATTTTAAAATGTTTACTATTGTATTGTGACCCAAACAATCATAATTATCAACTGATTAATTAATGTTGACACCCTGGTACAAGGTTATATTTGGTTATTCGTAGCCACTAATATCACACACACATATCACACAGGCCCATAAGCATTAAGCAGATGTTGTTCATGTAGCCAGCAACATATGGACAACGACTTGGAGAGTGGTGACGTCTAACATATAGATGCTCCGTTCTGTTGCTTTCTTCTGCCGTCATCTCTGTTCACACAATGTTAAAAGGTCACATGAAAAATGCATGACCGCGGCCGGAGGATCTCACCATTGCTGCATGAGGAAGAGAACCGTCAGACAGTAGAAGATGCTGGAGGAGGTGAAAAATAAAACTTTAAACTTTTTGGATGACGTCCCAGTAGAGTTGCATTTGCGATGTTTTAAACAAGTGTTGCAATTGCAATTATATTTGAAATGTGTGTTTCAAAAGTTAAAATCTGTTCAAAGTGAACATTGTAAACAACTCCAAGAGAATTTCATTTTGAGAGAAGACTGAAATATGAGCTGATACTCCAAAAATTCTATGAATTTGAAAATGTTTAGAGAGATCTAAACTACAGGTACAACAAGAATATTCTATAAAAACACATATTTTGTTTGAATTACAGTGGACATTCTATTACCTAAATAATTGTAGTTTTTTATTTGGTAACGTATGCCTTTTCAAATTGCAATTCAGATTTTATTGTTATATATATCGTGCAGTCCTGCATCCTATTGGATTAGTTTCTTAATGAAAGCTGTGACATTTACTCAAAGAAAAACTTCACATTTAAATATTGTTATCTATTACCACAACACTACCATCTATGGTTTTGATTAATTTTGTACCTTTTATGACAGAGCTTCAACCAGTAATAATGGGATAACACCTATTGTTCATACAGATACACATAGTAGATTTTTATTTATTTATTTTAATGATTTGAATTAGGCTGTGTATTTTAAGAATGACTGTAAATGTGGTTTAGACACAAAACCTGACTGATGGATTCATTTTCCATGACTCCTGATTAGAAATCTAGTACCATCCTGTGCTTATTTCGTCACTTAAAGGTGCACTATTTAACATTGTGGATGGGGATCTGTCACCTGTTTGCTTCTATGGATATGTCATTGTTCTGCCTTGAAAGTTCCACAGTATGACTTTAAACAGTTCTACCTTACATTTTTTTCAATTGCAGATGGTTATGCTGCCCAAACACACCTAGAAAAACAAGATTTCTGATTGTGATCAGGATGGCTTCTCCATAGATCTGACCTGTAATTTGGCCTGGTTTGGCCATGGAGATAGAAAGGTTTAGTACCAGGCAAACTTTCCAGACAAAGCAATAACATCTCTATGAAAAAAAGCATTTGACAGACCCTCCACCAGAAAAGTTAAACATTGCACCAAAGTATCATTATTTACAAGTCAGTTTTATCTGTACCATCTTGGTATTTTAGAATTTACTGTGTGTCCCTTCTGTGCACAGTCCCATTGCAACTAACCTGAATCCATTCCAGAATACGCAATGTTTACCATCATGTTTTTCCTGACCAGCCAGTGCCTCGTACATTCTGTTAGAATGCAGAAGTGTCTGGACATGGATCAGGAACGGCGTCAAACCACTGGCCTAACTTTCCAATGTTCCAACCACAGCCTAATTTGCAGCACATGTCTCTCAAAAGCAGAAGACATCTCCTCTTGAAATTTCTTGTATTATTCTGAACAAAATGTGTAACTTATTTTAGCACAGAGTTTAATACTTCAATTCTGCAGGAAGCCTGTCCATTTTTTGTCATTTTTTACTCATAAGCCACTATGTTTGTTTTGACTCAAACAGACCCTGCATTTTTCTAATTGGTTAATCCGCCCTATAATGACATGCTGTTGCGATCAAATAAAGAAATGAATAATCATTACAAATGATATAATAGCCTATAATTTCTTGAGTTTCTTTTAGATTGATGCTTTCCCAATTGTGTTTGTAAACATGTATTGTACTCAGCAAATAAAGTACAGGAATCATATTTTGTTAGTGTATATTCCAGTTTAAGTGGATAGTGTTTTTAAATGTCTTGAACTCTGTTTTGCATTGTATTAAGTTGTGTTTTTGTTCCAGTGAGCGAGTTAAGCCGATCCTGGGTCGGTTCAGTGAAATCCTGTCCCTGCTGTCCCACATGAGGATACCGGAGAGAAGTGTGGACGCGGTGCTGTTGGACGCAGGCTGTTCCTCCATGCAGATGGACCAGGCCCAAAGAGGGTTCTCTCTGAGCAAAGACGGCCCACTGGACATGAGGATGGATGGAGACAGGTCAGGGCACTCAACAATACTGGACAGAATTATATGTGCTTAAATGTGAACTAGAGATGTCATGTCACGATTGATCACTTAATCAATAACTGTGGCTATACAGGTTACAAGAAATTCTTGTAAAAATGTTGAGAATTTTAGAAGCAAAAATAAGTCATTTCAATTCTGTCTATGGTAGAAATGTAAACCTAAATGTAAACTACTGACCTTTTGGTACATGATATAGCATGTACTTTATGCACAACTATTAAAACAGTTTAAAGTTGATCCAACTTGAACAATAAGTACTTTTTTACTTTATTATGAATTATCATTTTTACAGTTAATTACTTTGATGGCATATTGAAATTTCAATAAATGAAAATGACACAATACAAATACAATTTGTAATTTTTCATATCCGATGCACAGACTTGCAGTGTAACAAAATATATTGTAAAGTCTCCAGTTGTGATAGTGGCAATATTTGTCATTATTTGTATACACTTTGTGCCACTGTTTTCTTAATTTAGCGTTATCAGTAATTCTCTAAGATAATAAAATACCATAATTTATTACATATTCAAACATTTGTGACTAGGGCTGGGAATTGCAGGGTCTCTCACGTTTCAATATGATACTACATGGCTAATAATGCAATATAATCACAATATGGCAATACATGTGATCATCAGTGTATTGCCTATGATATTCTGCACTATATTACTATTTTAAAGAACCAAATACATTTTAACAACAGTGTTTATTTGTTAAACCACTAACCACTGTGTAAGTCAACATAGAATGAACCAATTGTAACCAATAAAACTGAAAAGTTTATTTTCTCTGAACTGAACAAACATCAAAATTGTAGCTGTGTAGCAAATTTAGTAAATGGTTCCAAAAGATACTGTTCGATATATCGATACAGCAGCCCACGATAACAATACTGTATCACCAGTTTTAGTATCACGATATACCGATATTTCAGTATTTTAGCACACCCCTATTTGTGAAAAACTGTGCTGTCTGTTGTTTACTGAGCAGCTCATATTTCATAATTTCTCCATCCACAGTCTGTTTGTGTATTCAGAAGTGTTAGTAAATCATAGTAATTAACAAGTGCCACAGAGACGTGTGAACCAACAGCTCTGATTATCTTTTATGAGCCGTGCCACAAGCTGCATCTCCCCTTTCATTTCCTCACAATATTCTCCAAAACATAATGCTTTTGTTTTTTTCTTCCTCCTCAGCTGTACATCTCACAATTGTCACCACTGGCGAAGAGGGGAGGGGGGTCGTGACGTCAAGCCGCTTAATTGGGCATCTCTTTGTGCGTAGGTACCCTGACATGCCCCACGCGGCTGACGTTGTGAATACCTTAGATCAACAGGCTCTCGCATCCATCCTCAGCGCATACGGCGAAGAAAGACGAGCTTGGAAAATCGCTTCAGCCATAGTGGAGGCTCGCCGGTCCAGCCCTCTCACCACCACTCATCAGCTTGCCACAGTGGTCGCAGGTATAGCCAGTAGTCCTGTAGATTTAGCTATAGGGAGAAATAAAACATTGAGTGGCAATATGAAGTCTGTTTGTTAGCGACACATCGCTTCTCTCTCTGCTTTGGCTTCTCGTGAGAAAGGAGGAGATGAGACCGTGACTATGTGACTGTCTCACAATTCAACTGATATCCTCAAAAGCACCCATACATAAACACCATCTTTCCATCTATCCCCCCTTGATTTAGCTGTGTTTCTCATCTGCCCCATTATAGCAGTGCAGAGCGAGTTTTGTGCCTTTCGAGATGTGAGTGAGTTGTCGTTTCAATAGTTATTGCAGAGAGCGCTACGTGCGTCAGTGTCACCGAGGGAGAACAGGTGTGAGTAACTGCAGCTGTTTGATATTTTTTAAAGAGCAGAGCAAAGTCAGCGCCGCCAGTGTTTTCAGAACAACTATCCGTCAAGATTTTTTTTCGTACAGGGACAATACAAAGGAGCTTTACAACCAGCTGTGCTTAACAATAATAAATATGCTCCTTTAAAGTGTCATTATATTTAATCACTCATTCAAGTCACTCATCTATTTTACACTGAATTACTTAATTAATTTATAGTTTTTACATTATTATCTTGTTAAATAGGGTTGTAGAACTTTAGTTGTTTAGTCGATTAATCTGTTGATTGCATTTTAGGTGTTTTAGCCGTCAAAAATTTATATTATATTACTAATCATTTTATTTCAATTTTAAGGATTTATATGGGACCACAGCAGAGAAGGAGAAGTTAGTGAGTGAGTGAGCTGGTCTGTCTGTAACAGAAAAAATAAAGAAAAAAAATACCCGAGGGGACTGAAAAGCATCACCCATTTCTGCAGAATTAATGAATGAAACATAAATTCTGTTAATCTGAGTTGAGATAAATTAGTTTTTATTTGTAAATGATATGTGACCAACAAGCTCCTTCTTTCACATGCATCACTGAAAAAAGACAAATCTAACTGCACGATCATGTTTGACCGCTCTTGAGACACGACTGAGGGCATGACAAGTCTGTATAAAAACAGAGATATTTCAAACACATTTCAAATTCCTCATTAGAAGGAATTTTGAATGTTGAATTTTCAGTGCCCAGACCTGTCACTAACCTTATCATCCATAATCTTGCTCTAATCTCTTGTTTTGATTTGAATGTCAAAATGCCAAACACATAAAGAACTTTCTCAGGTAGTACTTTTTTTCTTTTGCATCAGGTTAGAGCTAGCAGATTATCAAAATATAGATAATATCACGAATGTTGTCTTGAAGATATCTAAACACATAATGTTGTGTATAGCTGTTTAGTCATTTCACATTTGTTTCATACTTAAACTTCAACATACATGTTTTAGCACATCTCTGTTGGATTAACATAATATGGTCTGAATATTTCTAAAAAAAATGATCTTTTCATTGTCGTAAATATTGCTCATCCTAACATCAGCTTGAGACACAAAAATGGTTGGACATGTAACACAACATGAATGTACTGACTCTTTTATTGGGCTTTTTATAATGCAAGTGATGCAAGTGAACTATAAATGCATATAGACAGGATCTGTTGATACAGGTACTGGAGGTGTCCTTGGTACACGCATTTGAAAGTATAAACCGGAGACTAGAGAATAAATAAACTATGTAGGGTCACACTGTGATTTCAGGACAATCTACAGATGAACTCACAGAAGAAAAAAACAACTTTTCAGTATTGTATGTAGAATATAATCTGACTGGGTGGGATATATATATTGAAATATTGTTTTATTTCACTTGTTTTTGCAGATATGCAAAATCTAAGTATAGTGTCGTGTTTTAGCAAATTTTTGGTGGACTGCAAAAATATTGTCTGTAAAATAATATGGGATATTCATGTTTGTCATATTGCATACTGCTCTTAATTACAGAACCTTCTAAATATGAACTCCTTGTTATATACCACTGGGGTGGACCCAAAAAAGACTCAAAACAAGGACGTGGTGCAAAAGTAACAAGGGTTTATTTGCCAGGGAGGATAGGCGGTGGAGAGATGAGGAGCCAGTAGCCGGGATGCAGGAGTCTTCAATGGCGGGAACTAGGAGTACAAAAATGCAAGTATTCAGAAAGCGAGGGAAAAATCAAAAACTGAGCCGACTGGAAAATCACCATCTAGTAGACGAAACAATCTGGCAGAGTCTGGAAGGAGAGCTGGGCCTTTGTAGCAGGCTTGATTGCAGATAGTGTGCAGGTGCTCCCAGCAGTCCTACCAGGCTTGTCAGGGAAGGTCCTATAAAAGTCCCGGAGCAAGGATGTAATGCCGAGGAACCCAAGAGAACGGTCCTCTGCGTCTTTCTCCGAGTCTTATCAAGACGTATAGTCAGAGAGGTTAGCTCCTCGAGACTGCTGGTCTCATCTCTGGCGGCAAGCTCATCTTTAACATTGTCTGAGAGTCCTCTTTAAAAAAAAAAAAAAAAAAAAAAAAAAAAAAAAAAAACACACTCTAGGGCAGTGTCGTCCCAACCACTTTCATGAGCTAAGGTTCGGAAATCTATTGCATACTGAGCAACTGAGGAGGATCCTTGGTTGAGTGCTAACAACCTCTTAGCAGCTTCTTTTCCTTTTACAGGATGATCAAACAGTTTTTTCATTTCATTAGAAAAGGCCGAGAAGGATCGAAAAATATCAGAATTACTTTCCCATGCCGCTGTTGCCCACTGAGATGCTTTATCAGTTAATAAACTTATAACAAAAGCAATGCGAGACTTATCTGAAGCGTAGGTGAGGGGCTGTTGATCGAACACCAGGGAGCACTGGAGGAGAAACCGACCACAGGAACCAAGATCGCCAGCGTATCACTCAGGAGTGGGAATATGAGGTTCCCATTGAGCCAAGGAAGGTGGAGCTGGAGGAGAAGAACCAGGGAGGACATTGGATGGTGGCGGAGCACCAGCAAACTGGGTGAACGCAGTAGTGAGGTTAGCCAACATGGTCCCAATTTGGTTCATTTGTGCAGCAAAAGCTTGCTGGTTTCCAACAATTTCCTTGAGTTGATTGTCACGCTTCCCCAATAATTGACCTTGATTGGAGACAGCTTGGAACAACGGGTTAGGTTCTGCTTGAACCAGAGAAATTGGATCCATCTTCGGAGCGGAGGGTTGAGTCTGTTGGGTCCATGTTATGGCCAGATTGTTCTGTTATATACCACTGGGGTGGACCCAAAAAAGACTCAAAACAAGGACGTGGTGCAAAAGTAACAAGGGTTTATTTGCCAGGGAGGATAGGCGGTGGAGAGATGAGGAGCCAGTAACCGGGATGCAGGAGTCTTCAATGGCAGGAACTAGGAGTACAAAAATGCAGGTAAGTATTCAGAAAGCGAGGGAAAAATCAAAAACTGAGCCGACTGGAAAATCACCATCTAGTAGATGAAACAATCTGGCAGAGTCTGGAAGGAGAGCTGGGCCTTTGTAGCAGGCTTGATTGCAAATAGTGTGCAGGTGCTCCCAGCAGACTCCGCCCACGTCCACACACAGCAAAGACTCAGGACAGGCAGGGGCGTGACACTCCTCTCTGCTGTTCAGAGCAGTTTAACTTTATCATTCTAACTAGTGCCAGTTTGTACCCAACACCAATGTGACACAGTGAGATATTTATAATGATAGAGTGTGAAGGCTCAGGTCGTGACATACAGCAGACTGCAGTCCATTTGGTTTATTTTTATTTTCTTAAAGATTCACGCATATTCTTTCAGTAATTTTTCTTTGCATAGTTGATATTAATGAACTGAATTCAAAAATTGAAAACATGTTCTAGCGACCTAGTGTAATGAATGTATGTATAAATGTATATTGAGGCGAAAACTTTTTTTTTATAACACATGCAGTTTCTTTTGTTAACTGCCTTTGGTCATCATGCTTGTATTTTAATTTTACATTACATACCTTAAAATTAAGTATGTAAGCATGTATGGACTTTAAACAGGATACTTTGTAGTCTAACACCCGATAACACCATCGACACAACTTTTTTTTTTTTTAAATAACTTGGAGATTTGGGAAGTTGGAGAAACAGATTTTGAATAAAATTACAGTATAAGTCATTATGTACCACATAAGTGATAAGATCCCTGTTTGTCAAAAGTACTATGAGTATTGTCTTTGTTGTGATGGTGTCAGTTTTTGTAATATTGCCCTGATGCACAACCTGTTAATTGTGTCCAATTAAACACAGGCCCTGTCAGTTCCTGGTGTAAAGGGACCATTTCATCTTCTCTCGTAGGCCAAAGCTTGGATTCTATTTTCCCCATGTAGATTCCATGCAGAAACTAGAAGGACAGAGCCAAGAAGAGGAACCCCCACAAGCATAAATCAAGCTTTAATGGGCCCAATTTATTAATGTTTTCTTAAAAAGTTCATACCTTCCACTTTCAGAAAATGCTAAAAGAACTCTGTGCCAGATTCATGACGCCATCCATCCATTTTCTTAAACTTATCTGGGGCCAGGTCACGGAGGCAGCAGTTTGAGCAGGGAGGCCCAGACTTCCCTTTCCACACAAATGTCCAGCTCCTCCAGGGATCCCGAGGGGTTCCTGAGTGGTTTCCTCCCTCCAGTGTGTTCTGGGTCTTCCCCACTACCTAATCGCGATGGAACATGAACAGCTCCTCAGGGAGGCATCCAGAACAGATGCCTGAGTCTTGACATGGAGAAACAGCGGCTCTACTCCAAGCTCTACCTATGTGACTGAGCTCCTTACCCTATCTCTAAGGAAGCACCCAGCCACTCATTTTGACCACTTGTATCTGTATCTTGTTCTTTCAGTCAGTACCCAAAGTTCATAATCATAGGTGAGGGTAGCAACATGGATTGATCAGTAAATCAACAGCTTTGCCTTTCGACTCAGCTCCTTCTTCACCACAACAGTTCGATACAGACAGTTTTATTTTAGGTTTTAAACTCAGTCTCCAATCCTAAACCCATCTTTTTAATGAACTGTGTGAACAGTTTTTAAAATGTTTTATTAAGAAGGTTTCTGACATTAGGAACCAAATATCTGCCTTTAGTCAATCCATTTATGTAAATAGAGGTACTCTGGATTTTAATTTTTTTAAATAATTTCATTCCTTTGTCTCTTTCTTCCCTAGCTGATGTTTTATCCCACATAAAAGCGATCACGAGCTGTCTGGATGTCACACCCCGCAAAAAGATGTTTTTAATGTGATTAGACCCAGTATTTTATCTATTGTCAACTAGTTTCTGTCTGAAGGCCTTGTCCCATCCCATTTTAAACATGCTGTGGTTCAGCCACTTTTAAAGAAACCTAATTTAAGCACCTCTGATTTTAATAATTTTAGACCATTTGAAAGCTTCCATTTTTATACAAAGTTGTTGTTGTTTCTAACCACATTTTAGATTTTATGAATAGAAATCACATCTTTGAGAAATTTCAATCAGGTTTAAAGCATCACACAGCACTGAAACAGCCCTTCTCAAAGTCTCAAATGATCTACTTGTAGCCGCTGACAGATTTTTATTATTTTATGTGTAAGCGCCGCCTTTTGTTACAATTGACCATATGATTTTAATAAACCGCCTCAAAAACTGGGTTGTCATCCGAGGCACTGCACTTGTTTGGTTTTATTCCTATCTTTTAGACAGAACCTTTGCGGTCACCATAGGTAATTTTACCTGTAGTGTGGTGTGCCACAAGGTTCTATCTTAGGTCCCATTTTATGTTCTATTTATATGCTCTCCTTTGGACACGTTATAGCCCGCCATAATGTCTCCTTCCACTGCTATGCTGACAACACACAGATCTACCTTCTGCTGAGCCCAAACAACCTTGGGAGCCTGGCTGCTGTGTTAAACTGCTTCAATAACTTGAACAGTTGGATGGCACAGAACTTCCTACAACTCAACAGCTCTTGCTTCCAACATCACCCCTGCTGCCAAAAACCTTTGTGTTATTTTTGACTTTTACCTCAACTTCCACCTTCCCATCAAAAAAGTCATCCAATCCTGTTTTCTCAATCTCCACACAATTAGTAAAATCAGACATATCCTCTCCTGCCCTCATTTTGAAAAAGTCATCCACACGCTTATCTTCTCCCGTTTAGGCTACTGCAAATCCCTCCTCTCCGGCCTTGACACCAAATCCATCTCCTGCCTCCAACTGGTTCAGAATGCAGCAGCTGGACTCCTCACTGGGTTTAACAGTCATCAACACATTACCCCTGGTTTAGCTTCCCTTCACTGGCTGCCTTTGTGTTTTCAAATTGATTTTAAGTTGTTACTGGTCACTTTTGAAGCTCATTTAGGTTTTGCATCCAGTTACATTTCAGACCTTTTAACCCAGTACGAGCCCTCCCACAGCCTTAGATCCTCAGGCAGGTCTCTGTGGCTGTTCCAAAGTCTAGGCTCCAGGCAAAGGGTGATCAAGCCTTTTCAGTCCGGGTGCCTCGGCTTTGGAATAACCTGCCTGAGAGGAGAAGACTCACAACATCAGTATCATCTTTTAAATCATTCCTTAAAACTCATTTTTATTGGTTGGCCTTCCTTTAGCTGGTTATAGTCTGATTCCCTGCTCCTTATTTATTTTTATTCTATTTTATTAACTTTTTCATTCTGATTAATTGAATTGTTTGCGTCATTGTCTGTTTTTTATGCTTTCTGGATGCTATTTTTATATTGTCCTTTGTGACTTGTACAGCACTTTGTAAACCTTGTTTTTAAAAGTGCTTTATAAATAAGGATTTATTATTATTATTATTATTATTAGTTAAAAAAAAACATTTTGTGATTGCCAAACATTTTCATAATAAGGCCTGTACAGAACAAATTTGTTTGTAAGAATGCTTCATGAATAAGGCCCATTGATTATATCCATTGATTTCCAGTTGAGAGATAACTGTAAGCTATATTACATTTCTAGTTGTTAATTTTGTGTACTGTTTAATCTAACAGGTTCCCAAGGCTGCGGTTGCTTCTTAACTACCTGCTTTTCCCCTTATGTACACATCTTAATCTCTTCTTTCCTCCATGGATGTGCCGCTAGGACCTTTGAAAGATGAATTAGAGAGGGCCCGGCTTGGTGAGGCTTGGTCCTCCGCTGTGCAGGCATTGTATTGATTTCAGAGTGACTCACACCTTGGGCTGTTCAGTGCAGGAGGAGAGAAATGCCACATCATTCACTTTGCTATTTATTGCAGTTCCTCCATGGGTCTATACAAGTGCTTAATTGTTTTTTTTTCTCATGTGTGGTGTGGTTATGACTTGTTAAAGCTGCACCGTGTTGTGAGATTGTTTGTTTGGTGCCAGATTTCCAGTCCCTCATGATCCCAGTGTGTAATGTATTCAGTGCGGTGATTCATTCATGCAGTTTGTCAAACAGGTGCAGTGGCCAGTAGGTGCAGCTTGTTCAGTGTTTAAGGCACGCGTTTCAAGTCTAATACATGGCTGCGACCACTTATTTTTGACAGAATTTATTTAAAGGGACACTGTGTAACTTTTCCGTGGGGTCTTCCACCTCCTTGTTGCCGTAAAGATGTTATACCTTTGCCGCAAATATTTCACAGTATAACATCCTATGTTTGAAGCATTTATTTTGCCTTTACAGGTGTTTTTAGTACTCAAATTGACCTTGAAAAACATGCATTCATTATGTTAGCAGCGTGACTGATCTGACCTGTAACTTGGTCTGTTGGTGTTATCTGCTTGTCTCCATGTAGATATTTATGTTTAAGGTACATTGTTTGTACTTTCCGGGGGGAGGTCTCCCACCTACTTGTCTGCTTGTGTGATGATGTTATTGCTTTGTCTGAAATATTCCACAGTACGCCATTAAATGTATCCACCTTGCATTCATTCAATGAAAGCTGTTTTTATTGCTCAACAATACCTTCAAATACATGCATTCTTACCTCTCCATAATACCATATTGCAAAGCAATAATATCTCCATGGAGACAAGTTGTGAGCTGACCCTCCCCCAGAAAAGTTACACAGTGGACTTTTAATGCTACATTGTGGAACATTTCAGGCAAATAAATATCATCTCCATGGAGACAAGCAGGTAGCAGACACATCACCAGAAAAATTACATAACGCACCTTTAATGTATTTTTATATGAATATTTATCACCACGTACATTTGGTGTCTGTCTGCTAACTCTACATGCAGGTCAAAAAGTCAGATTGCAGCTAACAGGAGCTAAGAGGCATTCACAGCATCTAGGAAATTAGCTTTAACGCCAGGTCTGTCATTACTATATCAAATATTGTGTAACAGTATATTTGTAGTACAATATGATTTGAGCTGTTTGAATAATTAACTTCTAAGACTCATTATTACAAATTATGTATTTGTGCTATTTATTTATTTATTGTGTTTGTGTTTTATGCTTTTGTACAAAAAGGGAAGCTGGGGTTATCCTGCTTTAGGGTCTTTGTGTCTGTATCATAAAGTAGTCCTTAGTTTTATAGTTTATTGGTTTTGAAGCAATGTATCTCCATTCAAAATGTTTTGTGACACACAAAATACTTTGTTATAATAAATAGGAAACAGGGTAATGTATTATAGTCTTTCAAATATTTATGAGGAGATACATTGTATAAAAAGTTATATGTATAAATTACAAATCAAACCACTACAAACTACAAAATCTATATATTATAAATGTCTCCACTATCTACAACCTTTAAATTCCTATTTACCATTCTCATTTAGTACAGCCACCCATAACTCAAAACAATTGCTTAATAAACTTTCCACTAACACTGTACCAACAATTCATTATCTGTGTGGTTATAAATACCAAACTAATGTAACTAATTAAGGACATTTCAACAGTAACTATGATACGACTATAGTTTTGTATTCTACAAATTAGAGTGCAAACTTGGCAGTGACTGGAGCGGGAGATCACGAAGGCATTTGGCAGAAGCATGTTTCTCAGTATTTTAGTGACACATCAGCCATGTCCACACCATCTCCACCCTCCATCTGCTTCACATAGAGCCACTCAGTCATGCTGGAGGCTGGTGATAAGGCCTTGTGAAAAGAAAATGCACAATATATTACTTTAAAACCATATATAGGGAATAAAGTGGACCATTTCGCTGTGACATGAAAGGCTAACGTTCTGCGGCTAGAAATTAGTACCATATTTGAGCATGGCAATGGTGAAGTTACCCCCGCAGCATCTGTCATCAGTTGTCTCTGTAGTTTCATCATTGTAGTAGAGAATTAACGTAATGTGCTTAAAATGTCTTGCCCAAGGACACAGCAACAATATACACTCTGACAAGGTTTGAAACCTCTGCCCTGTGGGTTGAAGTTGAGCGTATAAAACGCACAATGACGTTTTCAATATTAAAGCTAGAGGATTTTAAAATGTTCTGCATCTATAAGACGTGACACAAATTGTGCAGACCACACAGACTTAAGGACATTTTGCAGCGACTAAGTAAGGACCCTGTTACAATCACTGTCATCACAGTGATGATAAATGAAAAACTTTGCACAAACTCCATGTTGGTGCCCTCTACGCTATTTCTACAGTACAAGACCTGTCACTAGGCAACGGGCTGTTGTAAAGTTGATTGCAAACAACAATCATAAATATCCAACATGTTGGAACCTTACGAATTGAGGTTTGGGGGCAGTGGCCTGACAAATAGTTGTAACAGAATCGCACTGACCTCATAGACATGAGGAGATTATTGGGCTTTGCTATTGCATTGAATTGCATTTGTTGGCACTGCATAATGTTGGTATCTTGACCATCTATTTTGGTGCCCACAGGAGCCTTCCCGGCTGCGGCGATGTACGCCCGTAAAGACAGACTGAACCGGCCCTCACATGTGGCAACCAAGACTTTCCAGGCTCTACGCATCTTTGTGAATGATGAGCTAAACGAGCTGCACGCTGGTCTGCTGGCAGCGCAGAGTGCTCTGAGGCCCGGGGGACGCCTGGTCGTGATCACCTTCCACTCTCTGGAGGACAGATTGGTCAAAAGGTTTTTACAAGGGGAAGACATGTCCAACCTGGATGAGTTTCACTTTGAACAGAAACAGAAAAAAGCAAAGTATGCAGAGAGACCAAGAGAGAGAAGTGAACACTGGGCTCCGATCAAAAGGAAAGTGGTGACTCCCGAGAAACAGGAAATGTTAGAAAATCCAAGAGGACGTTCAGCTAAACTCAGAGCTGTGTCAAGACTCTGAGAAATGCTCTATTCAGGGTTAATTTTGTTCAAAAGTGTCCTTTGAACATGTAACTTGGTAAAATCAAGTTTAAAGTAACTATATGTATATTATGTTTGGAAGCTAAGGATGGAAACAAAAGACTCCTCACAGTTGGATTTATACTTTATGTAAAAATGAACCCAAAAGTGTGTCAGCAGGGTAATTGTGCACAACCATGACTAAATGTCTTGAGTAGTTTTGGTTAGTCATTTGACTGGCTTCAATGGTTGGAAAGGATGTTTGACTGAACTCAGAGCAGTGATTGTAAGAAATTAATTATACTATTTCCTCTCCAGGGCATAGCCATTCTTGACAATTGCCTTGTGAGTCATTTAAGATTTAGATGACTTTAACTCATCATATGACCACAGAACTGGTAAAAGCACTCAGTACTTAAGCATTGTCATTGACCTACACAGCATATGCTACAAAATATTATATTTAACATTTAAAAGGGATTTATTTCACATCACAACATTTTTTCACATTGTGTTGCAATTGATGGAAAAAAAATCATTACAATAATTAAAAAGCCCTGCTGAAGAACTAATGAGAAATCACTGTTTTATTTAGCCAGTTTTATTTAGTTTTATTTTTTGTGATAATTTTTATTTAAAAATGATCAAAAAATAAAAACGTGTGAAAATATTAATTGGTGCACAATTATTATTTAATGTCTTGTGTAATTTTTGTTAATCGTTTGGCTCTCAAAATCAGTGGGTTTATAGCGTTCGGCTCCAGTCAAATGAAGCTGATTGAGGTTGCACTAATTGAGGCAAATTTGTAGCAGAGCTACATATTTGGAAAGTCTGCAATTATCATAGACAATCCGGAGTGAAGCTGTTGAAGGTAACACAACTTCCCACCCACACCGCTGGTTTAGCAGGAATTGGGCACTTAGCAACACTGTCAATCAAACCTGTTGCTAACACTAGCGGGAAAGAGTTAGAAAGCACTTAAAGTAAGTAATTGGGAAGACAAAACAATGTCACTGTCACCTGAAATACAGCAAACACTAAAGTGGCATGTAGACTGACCCAAAGACTGACCCAAGACTTTCCCAAATGACTCAATGAATGAATGACTAACCCAAGACTGACCGAAATGAAACCAACAAATAACCATAACCCACAACCCAACAACCATAGATCGCATAGTGTTGACCCCACCATAATGCTGCTAACTAGTAAAGAATGTGCCACTATGTTGATAAATATAAAGCCCTACTTGCACTAAACTGGCAGCACCTTGTTGGAAAATGGGTTAGACAACCACTCATGACTCCATCTAGTGGTACAAAAGAACACTGCATCTTTTGGTCCCTGTTAATCATCACATCACTCAAAAGAGACCACCTTTTTCTCTTGACTATGCTCAACACATATTTTTGGTATTGTTATTTGCTGTGAAACGGTGAGTCAGAACACCACAACTTTTCAATACAAAAAACTTCACCTGCGTCAGCTCTAGTGATACAGCTACTTTGTGTCCTTGCTGTCTTGTTCAGCTTTCGAGTTTTGTTATCAGAAGCGACTTCTGTATTGACCTATAATTTAATGAAAAATCAGTATGTATGCGTTGCTGATGTACTTGGTTGAGTAGCCCTACTGTACCATATGAAGACCTCTAAATGAATGGATGACGCAAGTGTTAGAAGTGGTGCTGAATGAGCTGCTTGTTCTTGAGCATTCTCTCACCTCCGGCTGTAAGCAGTTGAGGTGTTTGGATCTTTACTATTTGCTTTCACTAATTGCGATTGCTCCGTAAAGATTATCAACACTTTTTTTTTCTTCCTCTCTCTCTTGTCTCACTTTGGTGCTCTCTAAATATACCTTGTTCTTGTTACCTTGGAAACGAAATGGCGCAAGTAACATTTAACAGTGTCTAAAAATATGCTGTCTAATATGATGCCATAACTTGAGTGAGTTGTTTGACATCAGTGGCCTCTTGTTGACAAAGGACGAGTTAAAAGTATGGGATTTGGGGATTATTTTCCCGTATGCTAACTTTGAATGGCCACTTTCAGAGCAGTACTCAGTATTATGAGGTAAACAATCCTTGAGACAAGACTAAGGTAATAGATAAACTACTTAACCATAGACTCTTTGTAATTTGACCTCCAAAATACAGTAGGACAGGTTGTGTGGTGTTGTAGTACATTCAGGGACAGACTTGAGAAGTGAGTCTAGTGGATAACAAATTATATAAAGTGTTATAATATAAAAACCCAATATTCTTGGGTTTCAGATGGCCTGACAATATTCTTGGCCCTTATTAAAAGCAATTATGCAATACAAATCAAAATATATCTTTTGAATGGGAAAGGTTCTCACAAAATCCTTGAAGTCAGGAATATGCCTACCACCAAAAAAAGTAGCAAAGAAAAAGAAAAATCCAACCTTCTCCAGTCCTGTAATATAGTTTCCTTTAGTCTAACTCATAAGCATGTTAAAATTGACGTTTGACACCACAAATCGTTCAAAGCAATAAAACAAATCAATGGAGTAAAAGTGAATCAATACAGAGGCTTTGGGTGTTATTTTGCTAACACTTAAATATTGACCTGTTTATGGCAGATGAGGAGTTCCTAATGTGCTGTATAAAAGTGACATTAATGTCAGTGTCAACTCTCCTCTTTCTTTGTTAAATCTGTACTGTACAAGATTGTAATGTTTAATGGTCCTATATTGCACAAAGTTGACTATTGTGAGCTTTGGGCCATGTTATACTGTTGTTACCTCATTAAAAACCTGGAACCTGAAATTGTTTTTTTGTTTCATTCACAAAAGACCTTTAGTAATTGTTTATTATTAGTTTGTCTAAGTCTCCAGGCCTAAAAATTCTCTGTTCCACCTTGTGATGTCATGAAGCAGTAATTTTCAAGTTAACAGCTTTTAGTTCCGCAGTTGGCAATTCCAAGGCTGAAATGATCATAATTATGCTAGTGAATGTGTATGGGTTTTCTAAACACACTGGAGCACTTCCTGTATGGAAATGTTAATTGTTAAATGTTAATAATGGCTCCATGGCAAATTACAGGTCACATGTGTGGAAAAGTGTCATGTCCAATGTAAGAATGCATGGTTTTCAAATTCTCAAGAGCAATAAAAACACACACTTACACATACAATTATATATAAAGCAAGATCTATAGGTTTAGTCTGGAACATTCCAGTCAAACATCAGGGTGACGAAAAATGGCATAGTGCACCTTCCTTTTTAAACTTTGATTTAGTCTGCTTTAGAAGCCACATACAATTACACACAAAAGCAGTTGACAGATGTATTATATTGAATGGTCTTTAATTGTTTATCTATTGTAAAATAATAATTACTACTGTAGACAAGTGTCCCCTGTGTGGCTTTAACAACCTTAATTTCACCTTTTTCCAGATGAAAATGGAAAATGAAAAGTCACCGTGCTGTAACATTTTTATTTATTGGAGATTTTGTGTGAGAATATAAAGCTGATGCAGAGACAAGAAACAAGACTATAACTATAGAATAAAACCAGGAAAAATGTGCTGTAAGCGAAAGCATGAAGCAATAACTCAATCTTCTTCCTCAGAACAAATGACTGTGCACAAGCTCTGTCATCTGTCTCTCTGCCCTGCATTTTTTGTTATCCAAACCTTTCAGATGTATGAGAGCAGAATATTGTACACAGTATGTTTGAACTGGTTATTTTCAATAAGCTTTTAATAATGATAATAATAATATAATGCATTAAACTTTTCTTAGCGCTTTTCCAGACCCTCAAAGTCATTTTACTTTATTTTTAATTACATTTGTTATTCATGCCTCACATGCTCCACACTCAGTGGTGGTAAGCTACCATAGTGGCCCCAGTTGCCCTGAGATATACTGACAGAGGCTGCCAATCTGTGCCATCATCACAGTCACGCCACATTCATTCTAACCGATGTGGTTGAAGTGTCTTGCCTAAGGAGACAACAACTGGCACCTCACTGTGCTCCTACTTTTCTATTTGATTAAATATATATATATATATATTACATTCTGTATAAAACGTGATAAATTTTATTCTTGAATATGACTGTAATAAATCCCATAATTATCAGTGCAATGTGTTTGCAATATCTTCAGGGCTCTTTATGTTGTTACAGAATGAAGTTTGGTGTAACTTTGGTGAACTGGTCTAAGTTTGACATTTTATTGTATGAACTTACCATACACAAAGGCATTATAAGACTGACATAAAGCCTGGAGTCTCAAAAGGAGAAATGCCAAACTACATAACAGACATCCATGTTGGATATAGCAATTCTACAGGTGCAAGTTTTGCATCATTTTAGATCCTGACCAAAAGCTGAACTGAAAATATTAGCCTTAAAATAAAACAGGATTTTTGAGGGTGTATTCACACTGGTTTGGCAGTTGAGTGTGGTCCTGTTCTTCTGGTTTTGTCTTGGTTTAGTTCTGCGTTTAATTCCAGTTTAGTCTCAAGTTTGATGTGGCATCACAGAGCGACTCCTGTCTTATGTGACATACACAGCCCTGGTGTGGTCCTGATTTGGTTCTGGTTTCTTTAGCATTGATGTAGTTTTTTGTTTGCCTCTCTTGACTTCTGGTTTAGTCCAAATTTTGATGTGGGGTACAGCCAACTCACACACCCAAAGCACAGCCAGTTGCTTTTTTGCAATTTCCCTTGTGCTGGGAAAAATAAAAAGAAATAAGAAAAGAAGTAAGGAAATTACTAAGTAATTGCGGATGCAATAATGGTAATGGACAATATCATAAATATCATATACAGTACATATATACATATTATCCATAGGTTCTGAAGGAAGAATAAAAAGGACTGTTGCCATGGCAATTGACAATGTAAAACTAAATATTATATGTTATGAATAGTAAAAAGATCTGAAAATGTGGCCTATGATGAGTAGATTCAAATCATGAGATATAGATATAGTATCTCTGTCCTGGGTGTTTCTAGCAGCTGTGCAGCTTGTTCCCATAAGGCCCAAGTTTCTGGTGTCTTTGTCTGATCCTTAACCTCTGAATGTAAGATACACTCATGCTCTCACCTCAGAATATTACACACAAAATACTACAAATTATTGTATTTTATTCCAAGCCTGTCATGTACTGAATGTGGTTTTGGGGCATTTCCAACAGAAATGTTGTTGTTGTAGTTGTACCTAGTTGTTAGGATCTAATGCAGTAAATGTCCATGTAATCAGCCTCTATAGCAGTACAGCAATAGAAACATGTCAGCAGAATAAAATCACTAACATACAGGTCTATATCTTACCACAGCTCCCACTACTCCCCCCACTTACGGCCATTATCGCTGTGAATTTAAAATTGCCTATCTGAGTCCAAGCCTGCAATATTCCCAGCAGTGGTCCATTTGGCAGAGAGCTGTGGTGAATGGCATGTAACTGAGGTCACTCCCTGGGGTTACAATGATAGAGTTGGTCTGGGTGTAAATGATTCACTAACAGTCACCATCTTGGCTTCAACGCATCCTCCCCAAGACCTGGTTACAACGAGTGGGTACAACAGTGATGAGAATCTGCTCTAACACTAAGGAGATGTGTGGCTTTTGACCTATTTCACATTTTAAACAGAAAAACAAACAACAACAAACAAGAGATAGTATAACCTCATTATTTATTCTGTATTTAAAGATGCACTTTGTAACTTTTCTGATGAGAGGAGGGGGTGGTGCCAGCTACTTCATTGCTCCACAATATGATATTTAACTTATCTATCTCAGTGGAGATAATCAGGTAGCAGGTTTTGCAGTTTTTGATATACATTGAAATGTTTTTTTTTTTTTGTTTGTTTGTTTTGTTTTTTATCTGAACATGTGCTGCTCATCTAAAATGGGGCCAAGACTTGTTAAATAAAGCTGACCATGAAAACAACCACTTGTAAGAAGTTATGCCGAACAAAAAGTTATAAGGCAAGCAAACTGTGCTTAATCCTTGGAATATTGATCTTTATTTTTTGTTTCCAAACCAATATAATTGTCAAGATGTCAAACTCTGAGGCTAAAAATCTCATGTGTCTCAGTGCTCACATTTCCCTGAATTCATTTAAATTCTTACTTAAATTTTCCCTCGTGCAGTCTGTGCCACTCCCAAGACTGAGTACATGGCAAAAGCCTGACACTATTTAGAATGTCATTCCTAACCTATAATGATATAATAAGGCAAATAGCACCCATGTAATTTCAGTGTATTCCCCGTCTCCATCTGTAAAGCTCATGTTATTTAAAGCTTTGTGGCCTGTCCCCGCTGGAGGTCAGTCTGAAAGTTGTCTTTGTGTTTGGGGCTTAGTCAAAGTCCAGCCTTGTGCCTGTACAGCTCACACAGCTGTTCCCAAACTCTTTCTCACTTTTGTAAAGGTGGTTTCCAGGCAACAGCATAAGAAGGACATTTTTTCACAAGCTTTTAATTAGTATCTCTGAATTTGTTTAATGTATTTTTCATTAGTGAGCTACATGTGTAAATCTATTTTATGTGCATATGTGCATGCTATTATCAATGCGCTTATTATCAATGCATGTTTTGCCTCTTCTGTATCTTAGTGCCGCTAGATGGAGTTAAGAGCTATTTCTACAGAGTTTGGCCTAATAAACTATCAAAGCATACTGTAAATTTAGGAGATACAGGTAGGTTATTAAGGTTATTATTAAATACTTAATAAGTTGGAATCATTCTTAAGTGCTCAGATTTTTCCCATGCTTTATTAAGGCTTTTTAAGCTTTAATGTCAAGTGGCACCGAAATGTGTTTATTCTTTTATTTATTTATAATTATCCGCTCCATAATTATCTACATATACAATATTTACACTCTGAAAACTCCAAAACACCGCAACTCCCCCAAAACGATTCACTTATTGTAACTAACCTCTCAACATTTGATCACAGATTAACTGTCCGCCTCTGTATAGATCTGGATCCGTTGCTAGGAGTAAATGGCCCCAGCACTTTCTTGTATAATGAATTTAATACTGTGTTCATCCCATGATTATAATGCCAGCCGCCCACCTCCAGCCACACATGCACATTTGTGTTTGGTCCCTGGGGAGCCGTGGGATATTAATTCTGCTGCAGCAGTTTAGAAAGACAGGTATGTGACTCACTGCTACGCACGCTCAGGACTTATAGATGGATCTGCCTATAGTCTGCCCCTGCTCGTCTGCGGTTAGCACACGCCTGGCCACTGTACAGGTGTGAAGTGCATTTTGGCTCGTATCCTCATGTGCTCCGATTAGGTTTGGTTGGTAATTCGTGACAGGTGACGCGCTTTTGTTGGCTTCTGAGTGCCCTGCGCGGCATTTGGAGGAGACCCGTAGGTGTGAAAGGGGCTAATGCTGTTTATGTGACAGAGAGAGCGTGCACCAAGGCCAGCCTCGCCACCACCCCCTCACCCTCCGCCCCACCCTCCTGGCTCCGTGATCGGGTGGGAAGTGGTGGTGCATCCTCGCGGTGGGAGAGGCTCAAGGCAACACAGCAGAATGGCTCAGTGTGTAATGACAGATTTGAGACAACAATGTAACAGGATTGGTGATAAACTGAAATAACGTTCAATTAAAGGGCCCATATTTCACAATTTTCTGTTCTATGTTATAATGTTTCCTCATCAAAAACATAACTGGAGTTGGGTTTTGTTACATTCACACATGTTTAATACACAAACCCTACATATTTCAGCGTTAGACAGTTCTTCTCTAAAACAGAAAACACTTGATTCCACCTTAAGATGTTATGTAGTAATACAGGAA